TACTCGAGTTCTGTTGATTGTTACTTTTTCAGTGAACTGCTTTACAGCGCGAACAAAAAAGTTGCGAGAGAGCGTATCCATAACCAACAGGATTCTGATTCTATTGATTAGAACCTCACAAAGTTTTCAATGCTGTAAAAACTGGAGAGCGCAGGTTCAAAAGGGAAACAATTGATCCAACAACAGCACGATTATCGATTTAGTAGGTAAGCGCTGACTACTTTCCCCCACTTATGAACGGTCCTTGTGTGTAATGAGCAGATGGACGGGAATTTCGGGGTCCTTGGCATTCATTCTGCGAGGTCATTATCCGCAAGGTTCTACGTCATGCGAGTAGCCAACAGGAGATCAACAAATTACATATTTTACCAAAAAATATTATAGGGATGTAAATATGTACCTCGACCATGACCTCATCGCCGATATGCACATTCTCTGGTTGAGCTTCGAAGCCGCTTTTAACACCTCGGGTTCGAGAGCTGGTACGAACTGTCTTCTCAGCTTTGGGCGTCTTAGCGAAGCCACGGCCGGCAGCCGCTGAACATTTTCATTCATTGACTCATTGGGCGCATTTTACTCGTGTGAAAAAGAGCCCACACGATCTTGATCAACTGTCCGCCCAGAAATGGGGGCGTGGCAATCTGAGATGGGCCTTCCATGGGGTTCACTGTGTACAGGAGGCAGTTTAGATGGCACTCAGAAAAATCGCTTACAAAAATCGCTTCGCGAAAGACTGCATAGTCATCTACACTACCCCTGCACGCATACTTCATGTGAAGCCCCGCCCCAGATTGTCACGCCCCTTTTCATCGTTTCGCATAATATACTCACAATATACGCGCTCTAGTACTCTGTTTACACTAGTTTTCAAATCAATCCATATGAACGCGTTCAACTTAAGGGCTGTGAAAAAGCGCTCACAGGGTCTCAATTACCAGTATTATCGATTTTTTTTTCGTTGTAGGCGCGTACGTACAGCTAGAAGGCACCTGATCGCAGCGTTGAAGTTTATCACGTCGTTGCATGACAAAACAATGTGAACTTCCGTGATTTTTATTTCTGACAACTGACTGCAGCCGAACGGCAACTGCCATCGCAACAATCACCGGACTTTACACGTCAAAGTGAGACCGTTCAGTTCCTCCTACTTTTAATCTTGCACGTTACTTTCTCCACATTACTGTTCATGTAATCAACTAGTACCGACTAAACAAATGACCAAATACCATACAATTTATCAGTCAAAAATATAAGCGAAAACGTACCAAACAGCTCTCGAACAGCGGAAACGTTCTTTTCAAATAGTTGTGAGGCTTTTGTGTAGTCCGCATAGTGAGTCCCGTGTTTACTACCGTGAGCTGGAAATAAAGTGTAATAACTCAATAAAAAAATAAAAAAATGCTAGAAAGAAATGTTTCAGGATCAATCGAAGTTCTGAATGGTTAGGCGAAACATGTTACACACTTAGTAACATATCCCGAAGATGGAGAGGGCGTTTGCTGCGCCGTTCATACGATTCGTTTTTTGTGGGATATTTGATAAAGCTGCCAGCATGTCTTATGCTGTGGAAGGACATGATAAAAGTTGTTCTAAAAAGGCAATATCGTCAAAAGTGCAACCATCGCCACGCTCAAGTGAAGTACGGGGCCCACGCCCCTCCATTTTCAGGTATGAATGTAGATGTATGGGCAGTGACTTCTGAAACTGCTTACAGTTCAGAATTACCTTTGGATGGAAGGAGAATTCAACTACGATCTGCCCTTCACGGCAGCCCAAGTACGCCTCCCTCCCCGTCCTAAAATGAAACTTTACCTGCAATTGCTCAAAAAGCAGTCATGAAATGGAGCAAAAGGGTTGCAAGTTGCATGAGGTAGGCGCAGCACGCACCCATTCATCCCCCACTCCAAGCACCAAGACCCTACCCACTCAACAAAGCCGGCGGCGCTGATTGTCGACTCTTGTCCCAGCGTTTATTTACTGGCCAGCGCGATGACTGGCAAATAACACTCTCAACAAAATTGTCGTGTCAGTTCTGCTTTTCCTGCCCTCCCCTGTCAATTCATATCCCTTATAGCGAACTAAACAACTCGCCTCCCTTCCAAGAATATGTAGGACCCTCTCCTTTGAGGGTATTTGGAGGACGACATGCCCTGCACACAGCAGGAGGTCCACTGCACTGTATCGAAAGCAGTTCGAAAGCAACGGTGATTACTCTTTGATATGTGAAAGG